GGGGGGGGGACAGGAGGTAGACAGTTAGCTCACAAAGGTGCTATACACATTGTAGAAGACTCAGCAGTAGGTCCTGTATTCGCACGTTTGCAGTTTCCAAAGCTACAGGTGGCCGGTGTCCAAGCTAAATTAGTATGTGCTCCTCAATCGGTTCCACATTAAGACGCCAAGCACTGTTTTACTCTTCGTGCACAGTTCGATTGGTTAGTCGATTTAAGTGATGCTTACCAGCACATACCGATGCACCTAGCGAGTCATTGACTCCTCCGACTCGCCCTTTTGGGCCATGTTTTCAAATTTGGGATGCTCCCCTTCTGGTTATGCACAGCTATATACGTGTTGAAACAGGTGGTGGTGCTGCTGCATCAGTCGTCAGTACACATCAACCCGTACCTAGACGACTGGTTGCTACACAACCAAAACAAGGGGTTGTTGGCTGAGCAGGTAAAGCTAACACAGGATTTACTACACCAATTAGGCATTCTAGTAAATAAGCAGTCTAGTCGAACATCTAGTCAGGGTACCCTCTGTGTCTCTCGAACTGACGCGCATCATTGGGATGACGTCAGTTCACAGGGTAGTTCCCCAAGTCAAGCTGCACTGTGCAGCTGCTTGCGAACGCATATGCCTTTCCTCCTTTCCCGCTGATTTACCGGGTACTGGAGAAATCCCGACAGAAGCACACCTGCATCTTGACACTGGTGGTACCCAACTGGCTGCGCCCAACTGTCCATCTGCTTGACGAGTTAGGTTTATCCTACGCAGCAATCATTGGTTATCATTGGTGCGAGCATTGTCACCCGCCATTGAGAACCCTTTGAGGACAAGACTAGCCAGCTCTAAGCGGACCACCCTTTGAACCACTGGAAACTGCACCACTGAAATATTTGATGTGGAAAACTAGCTACTACATTGTAGTTCTCGCCTCTGGTAGACGTTATTCTGAGTTAGGGGCTCTGTCCCTTTCGAACGATTGTGTCACCTTATGGACAATCAAGCTGTGCTAAAGACACGATACACAGCCAATTGTCAGCCCCGTTTGGCCAATATTGTTGGTCCGGATGATCAGGAGGAGTTGCTTCTATGCCCGATTCGAGCTTAGAGTTGCTATGAGAGACATACTAGGGAGTCGAAGCAGGGCAACAAGCACATGTTTATGTGATATGGCCAGGGTAAGCAGAACAGACCAGCTTCCCCAACTTCTATTTCTAGGTGGATCACTTTGACAGTGTTTGAGGTTTATGACCGATTGGCGTCCTCAGCACAGGGTCGACAGACTCAGAGTACAAGCGCATAAGGTTCGTGTGATCGTAAACTCATTAGTTCTTGTGTAAGGTGCCACCCTTGAATATGTTCTGAGGGCAGGCCCTTGGAGAACGCAAAACTTCTTTATCGATTATTGCCTAAGAGACACATAATCCATTGAGAAAGGTCTTTTTAGGGTGTGTCCCGCTGTTGGGGATAAAACTTTGATTGTTGACCCAGCCCGAACGACCACAGGGATCCCTGCGCATAGGCAATAGAGCAGTCTCGGCTACAGATTTGTGCTTAGAAGTTTTTCCCGTCAGTGCTCCTTGGACATCCCAGATCTTGTTTTCGGCCTATGCCCTCATGCAGAACTGTTTCGGCCTCTTCTTTTGGAATGCTAGTTACCCCTAGAAATTGGGTTTGGGTCTAGCGTCCTCAGGCAATGCTGACCCCATCACCTGATCAGCAGTACACTATTATAATGGGGCAAGGTAAGGTAAGGTACAACACCGTTTTTCACTGGTCGTAGGTACATGTAGGTGGTAGTTATAAGTAATTTTATCCTTTCGAGTATTCTTTTATTTTCTGTTTTGCTCAGAAACCTGCCACCTCACTGCATCTCACTCTGCCTACAGTTCAAAATAGTCATTTTGACTGACTGGAGTCTATGGTAGGTAATTGAACGTAGTGAATTTAGGCAGAGGGTTTTCAACCTGCCAATTCACCTAGTTCATACCTGTCAATTCACCTAGTTCATATCCGCCATAGACTTTCGGTCCTTCCCAACCACCCCACTTTCCGTAGCCTTGATTGGCTTCAGTTTTCGTATACGAAGAAAACAAGGGAGTGAAGATGGTGCAAGATGGCGCTGACCTCTTTGCCTCAGTCACGTGTTACGTGACATGGAAGAAAATCTATGAGGTCATGGGGCTTCCTTTGACTTAGATTTCTCTCTCCGTCATTAGCTGAATCGTGATTGATGCCTACAGTTCTAAATAGTCATTTTGACTGACTGGAGTCTATGGTGGACTAGGTGAATTGGTGGGTTGAAAATCCTCTGCCTAATTCAATGTCATGATCATATTTAAGACATAAACAATTGTATGTCGCCAACCCAACCCAACCCAGTATTGATGCATGTCATATGATCAAAGATTGATCAATTGGTGGCTATTTTTTGCCTGCTCAGCATGTTTTGAATGCCATTTAATGGCTGTAAGGGTAGGAACTGCTCAACCATGACTTCCATCCTGAAAAACAATTAACACCTTGCATTGAAATACACGTCATTAAAGCTTATTTTTATAACCATGTACTGCAGTAAATCACAAAATGTAATTATAACAGAATGCCATGGCCTTCTTCTGATGTTGGTTTGGTATAGAAGTTATTTTCATGAGTAATAATTGTGTTGTATCCTGTGGCCATATTTTTACAATTAAAGTATTGATACACCACATAACAAATGAAAATGACTTTCATACCTGACAAGCATTAGGGTAGAGGCCATGACATTTTAACAATAATGGATGACTTGCCAACCAATAATGGGTGAAAGTACACTTTGTTCTACATATATATGTGCGAGATGTTAGAGTGCCATATCTAGTATTTCTAGCATTTTATGGTATCATATCTAGTATTTCTAGCATCTTAGGGTGCCATATCTAGTATTTCTAGCATTTTATGGTATCATATCTAGTATTTCTAGCATCTTAGGGTGCCATATCTAGTATTTCTAGCATTTTATGGTATCATATCTAGTATTTCTAGCATCTTAGGGTGCCATATCTAGTATTTCTAGCATTTTATGGTACCGTATTTACATGTAGTATTTCTAGCATTTAGAGTGCCATATCTAGTATTTTTAGCATCTTAGGGTGCCATATCTAGTAGCATCTTAGGGTGCCATAACTAGTATTTTTAGCATTTTAGGATGCCATATCTAATATTTTTAGCATTTTAGGATGCCATGTCTAGTATTTTTAGCATCCTAGGGTGCCATAACTAGTATTTTTAGCATCTTAGGGTGCCATAACTAGCATTTTAGGGTGCCATAACTAGTATTTCTAGCATTTTATGGTACCGTATCTAGTATTTTTAGCATCTTAGGATGCCATATCTAGTATTTTTAGCATTTTCGGGTGCCATATCTAGTATTTCTAGCATTTTATGGTACCATATCTAGGATTTTTAGCATCTTAGGGTGCCATATCTAGTATTTCTAGCATTTTCTGGTATCGTATTTAGTATTTCTAGCATTTAGGGTGCCATAACTAGTATTTCTAGCATTTAGGATGCCATATCTAGTATTTCTAGCATTTAGGGTGCCATATCTAGTATTTTTAGCATTTAGGGTGCCATATCTAGTATTTTTAGCATCTTAGAGTGCCATATCTAGTATTTTTAGCATCTTAGGGTGCCATATCTAGTATTTCTAGCATTTTCTGGTATCGTATTTAGTATTTCTAGCATTTAGGGTGCCATAACTACATGTAGTATTTTCAGCATCTTAGGATGCCATATCTAGTATTTCTAGCATTTAGGGTGCCATATCTAGTATTTTCAGCATCTTAGGATGCCATATCTAGTATTTCTAGCATTTAGGATGCCATATCTAGTATTTTTAGCATTTAGGGTGCCATATCTAGTATTTTTAGCATTTAGAGTGCCATATCTAGTATTTTTAGCATCTTAGGGTGCCATATCTAGTATTTTTAGCATCTTAGGGTGCCATATCTAGTATTTTTAGCATCTTAGGATGCCATATCTAGTATTTTTAGCATCTTAGGATGCCATATCTAGTATTTTTAGCATTTTAGGATGCCATATCTAGTATTTTTAGCATTTTATGGTATAATATCTAGGATTTTTAGCATCTTTGGCTGCCATTTCTAGTATTTTTAGCATTTTTAGCATTTTAAGGTGCCAAAACCTGTGTTTTTAGCATCTTAAGGTGTCCTGTCAAGTATATTCGCAGACGTACGAGTCGCAGATGACCTAATCACAAATTAGGAATTCGTCGTGAGGAATTGCCCATAAGACTTTTAATTAGTTTCTTCGTAATTATTGGATTCTACTCCTAAGGGACAGTGCACCTGAAGCTGGATTCAAAACAATGTATAAACTAATGGGATTTCAGGTTATCTACATAGAAAATTAGTCAACTGATAAAACCAACAAACATCTGACACACATCACTCCTAAAGTCATGTTGTGATTGTAGTTACCGTACTAGGCCGCGTTAGTGCCCACCCCCACTTTTGCGCAATTTTTATATTCAGGGTCACAATCAGCAAAGCAACCACCCCTTAAAATTAAAAGTTGGTCTTTGATCATTGCTTAACGAATACTGGTAATTGTTTTTATATATCATGATACAGTGTTGATATCGACCGCTGTAAATATGTTGTGAATGCATAGACCACGGTAACCGTGTGTAAACTACGCTTTGACAATGACCTGTTAATAAAAGTAAAATGCGGTAAATATTTCATGCCATATTCAATTTACCTATAAAAAATTGCTAGTTACCATTTAAAAAAAACCACCATGTTTATTCACCAAAATCAATTCCAACAGATCGTACTTCGACATTGATAATTCACTTCTGCATTGCATTACCAGAAAGTCTTTGGGAATTCCCATTCGTCAGTGGCGATAATGATGAAGATTTTGCCTTTGAATGTGTTCCAACAGACTCTAATATTTTTAATCTCGTAAATTCGGGTGGTACCTAATTATTATTGTAATAATATGTGCATATTTGACCATTTCTGTTTTATTTTATTTTCTCTCAAAGACGTAATATTCCCCCTCAATCTGTCACACGGTGAATTAAAATTGTCATTTGCACACTTTTCCAAGGGGGTGCTATGGTAAACGCCCACCCCTAAAAAATCCTGATTTTATGGGTCCCTGGGCGCTAACGTGGTCGAGTACGATATGTTCATACTATGCTGCTCTGCTTACATTCAAACCCTGTACCATAAACACATTGAACCATTAGATTCTGTTAGCAAATGAGAATACCATGTAGTTGTAGAGTTTACAATTAATCAGACTTCCACATTGCATAACTGTAGCTACTGAATTTGGTTCATGGCCTAATTTATTATGGATTGACCTCTGTGCATCTGTGTGTGCGTCCGGACCTATATCTTAGACATGCCTAAATCGAGTACATTCAAACTTCA